AAATAGTTAATAATCCATAGTTTCTGAATAATGGACGCAGGCATTTAAAATAAAAATTTAAAGCTAATACAACAAGAATACTTACGATAAAGATATTGGGGTAAAGATATAAAATTACATATATACTCTAACAGCAGTAATATAAAGACGTGGTACAGATGGAAAAAAGACTAGAAGGTCATTCATATAACCTCTCCTCATCCCACAAAACTGTGATTTCATTGACTACAAAGATCAAATCATATTCTCCTGTGCCACAACCATACCAAGACAGAACGAATGAACATAAAAGTAAAAAGTGTTTTCTGACAAAAATCCACTACTGCCACACTATTAATGAAAAGGTTGATTACGCACTGCTTATATGTAGCTGAAATGGATGAACCAGACTTTCTCAACCTACAGCTTTCTTATTTCACATCATATATATTCTTCCTTAAGGCTCACAAGTTGTTAACTACCAAAGAATGTTAGTTACTCCCAGATAATGAACAATATGCAGCATTAAAAAAACTGCTTTAGGGTCTCGCTGGTGGCGCAAGGGGTTAAGACACAACCTATGAAGCTGGCCGCAGCCTCTACAGCACGAGTTCAATCCCCAGCCAACCAGGGAGCATCCCACATGGCACAGCAGACCTCTCCTGTCTCCCAGCTGCTCCCCTCAGCAGTGTATTTCAGTAGATCTGCCTGTTCTGCTCCCCACTCGGTCTCTAGTGAATCCTCTCACCCCCTGCATCTCTGGCCTGTACCCCAGTTTTTGTATGCATAAATAAATCTTAAAAAAACTGTTTTATTTATAAAAATATTTATGTAGGTCGAATTTTGAAGAGTAATCAGAAATCTCTGAATCAAACATGACCACAAAATTGTAGGAAAAAAAAATTTATAGCCTCCACTTCTCAACACTGTAACATCATAAACTCTCACAGATTCCATACTATCAAATACTTTAAAGTGCATTCTTTAATTCAGTTCCTATTTCTTGACTTCTTGTTGCTTCTCAAATAGCAAGAAACTACAACCAAAATTTCCCCTTTTAACATAGGCACTGATCTTCAAAGCAGAAGTTGAACCTTTACCGTGGCTACATTTTTAAAGGAATATGTACCCTAAAACATGTCAATCTGAATTGACACAGTCTTTCAAAATCAAATACTAACATATTATATAAACAAATTACTTAGAAATATAAACATGGCAAAAGAACAGGATACAGTGGCACACAAAAATTGCAATAAACAGAAAAAAATTATACATCTCTCTCCACTATTACTATTATTACTACTCACAACAGGTAGGTAACCTCTTCAATAATTTCTGAGGCCTTTAATAAGTGCTCATTTAAAAACAGTTTGGGGAGGCCTCCCTGGTGGCGCAGGGGGTTTAAGTCTCAGCACGATGTAGCGATCTGCAGCCACTGCAGCACAAGTTCAATCCCCGGCCAGGGAGCTGACCTACATGGTGCAGCAGACCTCTCATGTCTCGCCCACTGCTCCCGTCAGCAGTGTATTTCAGTCAATCTGTCTGTTCTGCTCCCCCACTCTGTCTCTGGTGAATCCTTTCACCCTCTGCACCTCTGGTCTGTATCCTGCCTCTTGTATGCATAAATAAATAAATATTTAAAAATAAATAAATAAATAAATACTGGGTTATAGTAACTATAACAAAAGTCACCATATGTTCTTTGTAACACAAAATCAGTAAGTTTAAGATTAATTAATCTAGATTTTGCTTCTATTACATGAAAAAGAATTAATATACTCTGACATATATCCACATAGATTTGTTCTCATCTTTTTAAAAAAAAACATATCCCCAGTCTTTTTTTTCCACTAGGGTAAGGATATGATGATACATAAAGATCACCTTTACTACCTTTACAAAAAAAAATAAGGGATTTTGATGCATATGGAGATTTGGAGAGGGAATGCTAAGGGAATAAAAAGGAAAAACTGTTGAAATATTTTTCCCCTCATGTTTGAATTTCAGATGTGTTAAAAAAAAATTCATTATAGCCCCAACTCACAGACCAAGAGACTTAGGGTCATCAGTCTTTCTGAGTGTGCATCTGTCTGGTCAATTAACCAGAGTTGGGCCTCCCTGGTCGCGCAGCGGTTGAGTGCTGGGTTGCAAAGCTGCCCGCAGCTTCTGCAGCACCAGTTCGATCCCCGGCTGCTACCTGGCCACCGAAGGAGGGTCCCACATGGCGCGCAGACCTCTCCTGCCGCCTGCTGCTCCCCTCAGCAGTATACTTCGGTCCCTCTGCCTGCTCTGCTCCCTGCTCTGGCTCTGGTGAATTCTCTCACCCTCCCGCGCTCTGACTGTACCCAGTGCTTGTATAAATAAAAATAAATAAATCTTAAAAAAAAAAAATTAACCAGAGTTGTTAAATTCTTTAACTGGTATTTAGACACTAATATTTATTTCAAAATGGGACAGAAGACTCCCAGAGGGAGAAAAGGAAGACTAATATATGAATAAAAATAAACCCTTCAGATAAAATTTAGCTCAAGCCCAAATCCAATGCGTGGTAAAAAATTTCCTCTTCTCTTCCCAAGAAAATTATGAATTATTTTTAAATGATACCTAATATTTTAAAATTTTTGAATTGAAATCTAAAGCATGGTGATCAGTATTTTTGAGAGAGAAATAAGAGACTTGATACCACAAAACATAACAAAAAAAGGTGGATATGACTCACTGAACTGGATGACAAATCTGGGACACTTAAAAAAATTTTTGAGACACTCAAATATTCTCCTAAACTGACTACTTCCTTAATGAAGAAACTATAATACATTTTTATGCTTCATAGGAAGAAACAAGCAGGTTTTCTAATTTTTAGTAACAAATGGATAAAGTACATATGAAAAAGTAAGTAATTCATTCTATTTATTTCCTTTTGTGGAAAAAGCAGCAGTTATCTCCCTTAAATTTAAGCAGCAGTCATCTCCCTTAAATTTAAATTTAAGTTATTTTAGATACTTTGATGATCAAAAGTACAATGTCTAGTAACAGGTAAATCTCCATCAAGATCTCCATCATAGGGCCTCCCCTGGTGGTGCAGTGGTTGAGCGCTAGGCTGCGAAGCTGCCCGCAGCCTCTGCAGTGCTGGCCGTCAGCAAGGTTCCCACATGGTGCACAGACCTCTCCTGCCGCCCACTGCTCCCCTCAGCAGTGTATTTCGTCAGTCTGCCTGTTCTGCTCCCGGCTCTGGCTCTGGTGAATTCTCTCACCCTCCCGTGCTTCTGACTGTACCCAGTGCTTGCATAAATAAATAAATTAATTTTTAAAAAAAATCTTTAAAAAAAAAATGATCTCCATCATAAAACAGATTATTTAATGCATAAAAGGAGTTCCTTTTTAAGCCAAAAGAAAGTTTCCTTATTCAAAACTTTGTAGTCTTCAGAACTCAAAATAAAAAATGTAATAGGTATATCATCTCCTATACCTAATTTTTCTTCCTCTTTCAATAGAGAATGCTCATGTCTTGAAATATACCCAAATCTTGCAATTGCCATAAGACCTTTTCTGTAAATGAGTGGTACTCATAGTATGGTGATTCCAGGAATGCATTAGCTAGGATATGCACTGTGGAGTCCATATATACTCTCAAATGTCAAATTTCTACAGCAGAATCACAGAAGTCAATGTTAAGAAGGAAAGATACAGAGCTCTAGGTATTTATAGACTAAAAGCACAAAGACATGACACATGGCTCACTTTGTCTCACTCCAATTGGTATCTATTACTAAATATCCACTGGCTTCTTTGCATGATGTCTGCATAATAGCCATGTGATTTCTTCTTGAATTCTGAAATGCTTGAGCTCTAGATTCCTGTTAAATCAAGGCTTATTTTTACTCTTCAGCAGTCCCTGAAAGGACACTTATCACACACTCCAGGCCTGGTAGTGAAGGTTATCATGAATGCTAGTCCCTTTATAACAGATGTCACTACACAGCCTTAATGAGTGATATGAGAAGGGTAATTGCTGGCCATCTCTTGCTTCTTAGGATTCTGAAAATTTACAATGCTAGAATAGAAAACTGGAGAGCTCTACGATTGCCTGCATCCAACAGGAAAACAGGCCAGGAAGTTTCCCACCATTTCTTTTTCTAAATTTGACTTAATTACATTCTGTTTCATTAGCCAAAGAGGGAAAACTTTCCTTGGGGCTTGAAATAATAATTATTTTTGAATCAAGAATAATATATATAGGGGGCCTCCCTGGAGGTGTAGGGGTTAAAGGCACAGCGCTGTTGGGCTGTCACCAGCCACCGCAGCATAAGTTTGATCTCCGGCCAGCCAGGGGGCTAGCCCGCGTGGCACAGTAAACCTCCCCTACCTCACCCAGTGCTCTCCTCAGCAGTGTATTTCAGTGGATCTACCTGTTCTGCTCCCCACTCTCTCTGGTGAATCCTCTCACCCTGGGGCCCTGCCCCCCGTACCTCTGGGGGTTCTTGTATGCATAAATATAAATAACGATACTACTACTACTACTAATATATATAAAGGTATATGAAAAATGAAATTTGTGGAAAATCAAATTATTTCCCTAAATAATGCTCTTGGTTTTCGACTAGAACAAAAAGAGAATTTTTTTTATAGATGCTTCAAAGTCAGAGTTTCTCTTACAGTTTTAAATTTCAAAGCAATACAGAAACCAATGACACTTTGGGTACTTGATCAATTAGCATGATCCATGTACCCTGCCAAGAATCCTGCATGACAGATATAGCATAATGCAAACTACAAAGGTTAAGAGCTAAATTGAAGCTTCTCATACGTATCTGTGATTCAGTCATTTCTGCAGCTATGAGTACTATGAAAAAATGTTAACTAAAAAGAACTAAACCTAGCTCCCAGATCTCACTCTTGAGACTGGGTGAAAATTCCAAGCACATATTTGAAACCCTAGTTAAGTATCAGAACGGGTCATTACACTGTTAGAACCCATTCTTTAGTGTGCACTCATGAGGAGAGGTATTTTTACTTACTCTGGTCAGCATAGTTCTTTGCTTTGAGTTCAAGTTGTCTTGTTTGAGATTCTAAAGATTCCACTCTGGTCTGTAAATCCTTTTTTTCCTGTTCTTGAGAGTCTTCAAATTCAATAAATTTCTGACAAAAAAAATATTATTTTCATTAGAGAAATGAAATCTTTCTAACATTTTCAACTCCAGTGTTTCTTGGTATTACAAATTAAGCACAATTAAGCATTAACTTGGAAGATCTCAGAATCATGAATTGAGGGTTGATTTTTAGTCTAAGTCAATTCTTATAAAACTGAGTTTTAAAACCTCCAAACAAAAGGAAAGGAAAAAGATGACAAAAATAGTTTGTTTATGAAAGTGTTTCCACTTCATATAACAGGCATTCCAAAGGAAATATTTATATCCAACTCCAACTATATAAATCTTTTAACTGGATACTAGCATGTTCATACGAGTTCAAGACCCAATTTTTTACGTGACTTTATATATAATATGTACAACAGATAGAAAACAATGTAACGAATAAATATTTGTTAAGGGATTTGCTTAATGGACAGTCTCCTAGATTGCCTCAATTATGAATTTAAACAAACATGTGCTAGAAATATCTCTACCAATCAAATCTAATTAAATTTATTGAGATAAAATGATAGTCTTATAGCTAACTATTAAATCTCAGTCTTCATCTTAATTGTTCTATCAGCATCATTTGACAACTGATTACTCACTCCCTAAAACTCCTTGTTATTTTCATTTGGTTTCTAGATCTTTTCCTTGTTTAGTGTTTTCTTTACTATTTGCTCCTTCTTGGTCTTCTTTGTTGTCCCTCCTTTCCCCCTCAACTTAACACAGGCAAGCTCAGTCCTTGCCAGTGCTTTCCTTGTAGTATTCTTATCTGCTTATTCCTTGGTGATATCATCCAGTTTCATGGTTTTAAATACTAGTATGTTTGACAACTGCTGTATTTCTAGCCCAGTCTCTAGCCCAGATCTCAATTTCAGATTTGTATGTCTTAATGCCTACTGGACACCTTTCATTTGAATATCTAACAAACCTAACCTGTCAAAACTTGCTCTTCCTCTTGATTTTACCTAGCTCATTAAATTATGACAGTCAACTGCTCATGTCTAACACTTTGAAGTCAATTTTGGCTCTCCTCTTTCTCTAATACCAATATTCAATCTATGAGCAAATCTACCATTTTCATTCTCTCTACAACCATCCGTTCTGTGCCACTTTTATCCACTGCTTGGAGCGCTGCAATAGCAAAAGCTTCCTAATCAGACTACTTACTTCTACTCTTGCCTCTCTACAATGCATTCTCAATATCACAGTAAGGGAAAGCAGTTTATTCTTCTGTTCAAAATCTTCTTACTGCTTAGATTCTCTCAAGATCCTTATACAAGCCTCCAGAGACTTACATAATCTACCATTTTCTTACTTCTTTGACATCATTCCCTACTACTCTTTTTCCCCGACTCCCTTACCTACCTCTGATTCAAGTCTCCTTGAAATTCTTTCAACACTCCCAGCATTTACTTTTGTTTCCTACTGTCTGAAATTCTCATCTTCCAGATATCCAAATGGTTTGTTCCTCACTTAACATCTTGGTTCAATTATAACCTTCTTACTAAAACTTTCCTTCCTCATTTTATTTAAACTATAATACCCACTCCTTATCTGCCTTTTTCCCCACTACAGCACTTATCTTCATCTAACATACTATATACCTGAGCAATTAATCGTATTTATTATATGCCTTTTCTCACTAGAATGTAGGTTCCACAAGGGTAAGGAATTTTATTTGTTTTATTTGCTGTATTCTCCGAGTAAAGAATGATGGCACATAGCAAGTGCTCAAATATTTTGTTGTTGTTTTTTGTTTATTTTTATTTATTGTGTAGAAGTGGTGTACAGGCCTGAGGTACAGGGGGTGACAGAATTCACCAGAGACAAAAGAGTAGAGAGCAGAACAAGCAGCGTTACTGAAATACACTGCTAATGGGAGCAGCAGGTAAGACAGGAGAGGTCTGCTGCACCATATGTGGGTTAGCTCCCTGGCCGGGTATAGAACTCAGGCCATAGAAGTAATAGTGCTGAGACTTAGCCACTAGGCCAACCAAGGAGGCCCAAATATTTGTTAAATTAATGAAAAAATAAACTAGTTGAATTTCCAGACTAAATAATTGAAATCCATATAGAAAAATGTGTAATTCACAAAAAAACTTAGACATCTTACTTTTAATATGATTTTTTTTTTCAATTATCTACTGTATCCATTCTGAAACTTTTCAGTCACTGCAATGGACCTTTTACACTGTTTTTTGTCAGCACACACTAGCTTCCTTAGGGAACTTCTCCTTTCTGTATGGAGAAACAGAACCATGCATTCAATCTCAGTGCAATTTCAAGTTCTGTAAAAAGTCTAATTTTCTACATTTATAAAAATTATAAATTTTTTTTAAATAAATCTTAAGAATTCTCTTTGCTCTTGAAAATCCCAATTTTAAATGGATAATAAATCTTGATTTGGAATATACAGCTGCCACCCTCATTTAAAATGCCAATCACTAGTACAAAACAAAAATAAATATGCCTTCAGTTCTGTAAGGCATGTTAGCAGATCATCCAGGGCACTGTAAGTAATTTCAATTTAACACACAAACTTCTCACTGGGCATCCTCATGGAGTAGATGATATAAAGGGAAAACCATTAGCCAAATAAGAAGTTGGGAATTTCTTCTCTGACTCCCAAAGGGAATAAGTAGGCAAATAAGAAAGCCTTCATTAATCCATCCTTTCAACACACGACTGGAAGCCGTGTTGTTCCAATGGTGGGAATGTAGTAGGTCACAGACAAGCCTGGTCCCTACGTTCTATTGTTTGAAATTTGGTAGAAGAAAATAGACATAAAACATAGGTGACTGCCAAAAGTTGGATTTGCAAAAAGATCTCAAATGATTCAAGTCACTGAATTTGAGGTTCATGCTGATAAGGGATGTCTGATATCTCTGTTGCTACCTAAGTGATCCCAATGGGGGATAACAGCACAAGCTTAGTATACAATTCAATCTCAGGTTTACCTATGAGTTGATTCTTAAAGACTTTGCAAAATGAGAAGTTTAACATTTCAAACCCTAAATACAAAATGAGACTTAAAAATTGCATGCTCCAAGTTCACACATACACACTATAACTACAATGTCATCCTAAGTACACATGAAATAATACAAGATATCAGATATGAGAGACTCAAGGACTAATACATTTAGACTGAGCCCTGAAGCATAAATAAAAGTCCATCATGCAAAGAGGGGCTCCAAAAGAATGGACAAGCTGAGAGATATGGCAGAGAGAATAGCCTGAGATGAGGCTATTTGACACCAGGGCCTCCCTGGTGGCGCAAGGGGTTAAGTCTCAGCACTATGAAGCTATCCATAGCCACTGCAGCATGAGTTTGATTCCAGTCAGGGAGCTAACCCACATGGCACAGCAGACCTTTCCTGACTTGCCTGCACTCCCCTCAGCTGTGTATCTCAGTAGATCCACCTGTTCTGCTCCCCACTCTGTCTCTGGTGAATCTTCTTACCCCACAACTCCACACACACACACTACTATCTTTAAATAAACAAAATAGACACCGGCCAAATCATAATAATACAGGGCCTTGAAGAAACTGGATCATATGAAGTATTTGAACTCCACTAATGCTTTGAAAAGTTCAATCTTTGAGAATAAGAGGAATTCAAGCGGGGAGATGGGGATTTTGATAATTTTTTTTTTAAAAGATTTATTTATTTATTTATTTTATTTATTTATACAACCACTGGGTACAGTCAGAAGCGTGGGAGGGTGAGAGAATTCACCAGAGCCAGAGCGGGGAGCAGAGCAGGCAGAAGGACCGAAGTACACTGCTGAGGGGAGCAGCGGGCGGCAGGAGAGGTCTGCGCACCATGCGGGACCCTCCTCCGGTGGCCGGGGAGCAGCCAGGGATCGAACCGGCGCTGCAGAGGCTGCGGGCAGCTTCGCAACCCAGCACTCAACCGCTGCGCCACAGGGGAGGCCCGATTTTGATAATATTTGAAGGGCGATCCAAGGATTACCGTGTTAGTCCAAATGAGATGATTACTATAAGCAGTGCAGTAAGCATGGAGAGGAGGGGAATAATTCAAGATATCTGGAGGTTAAAAAAGAAAACAAACAGGACTAGTGACTGAAAGAATATAAAGAAAAAGAAAGAAGGAAAGGTGAGGAAAAAGTCTAAATTTCTTGCTTGACCAATGATAGGGATAATGGTTTCACTTATCTAGGATAAACAGATGGTGGCGTGGCTAATATAATAACATTGATTTTTAGTATTAAAGTTAGCTACCTGGGGGCCTCCCTGGTGGCACAAGGGTTAAGACACAACCTATGAAGCTATCCACAGCCACTGCAGCAAGAGTTTGATCCCCGGCCAGGGAGGCGACCCACATAGCGCAGCAGAACTCTCCTGGATCACCTGCTACTCTCCTCAGCAGCGTACTTTGGTCAATCTGCCTGTTCTGTTCCCCACTCTGTCTCGGGTGAATCTTCTCACACACACCCCCCACCACGCCTCTGGCCTTTGCCCCAGCTCTTGTATGCATAAATAAATATATCTTCTTTAAATAAATAAATAAAGTTTGCTGCCTGTGAGGTATTCAATCACATATGTAATATTTATTTGTAAGTTATTTCATTATTTGGAGTATAACTGGGCACAACCCACGTGAAGGTCAGCAACATGTATCAAAATCCTTAAAGAATGTATGAAAAGTGTTATTTTTCTCACACATTCTTTTTTTTTAGATTTATTTATTCATTTATTCATTTATTCATTTATTTATTTATACAAGCACTGGGTACAGTCAGAAGCGCGGGAGGGTGAGAGAATTCACCAGAGCCAGAATGGGAAGCAGAGCAGGCAGAAGGACTGAAGCACACTGCTGAGGGGAGCAGCGGGCGGCAGGAGAGGTCTGCGCGCCATGTGGGACCCTCCTCCGGTGGCCGGGGAGCAGCCAGGGATCGAACCAGCGCTGCAGAAGCTGCGGGCAGCTTTGCAGCCCAGCGTTCAACCGCTGCGCCACTGGGGAGGCCCTTTCTCAC